CTCTCTCTCTCTCTCTCCCACACCACACACACACACACACACACACACCACACCACCACAAAAACACACACACACACACACACACACACACACAGGGGACATTACATTGACTGACATGCATTTCCTGGAGACTTATCCTAACCTTAACCATAACCAACAACTACCAATTTGTCCCTAAGGGAGGCGAGTCCCCACACGTGACTGTGTAAACAGATTTAGGTCCCCACAAGTATAGTAATGCTAGGCCACACACACACACACACACACACACACACACACACACACACACACACACACACACACACACACACACACACACACACACACACACAGTATTGCAGCACTACATGGTACAGGTGTTTGTCTACTGCTTAAAGAAAATCTGCACGTTAAAAGTGTGTTGACTTGCTTCCTGTCTTGAAATGTGTCCTTTTTGAAGTCGCAAATGGAGATGATTTTAGAACATTCAAACATTGATCTGACAATAAAGTGCCGTCATATCTTATCAACAAGGATGCTAAAGTCTTCCTATGTTCTGTGCACGCATTAAGAGCTTTTTATAAACACTACACATTTTCAATTTTAAGATAAGAGAGATAAGATGGTACTTTATTGATCCCAATTTGGGAAATTGTTTTTGTTGCAGCATAAAAGACAAGGCATTTTACGATAAAACAAAACTACAAATAAACAAGAATAGAAAGAAAATAGAAAATATACATGTAGATATTATACATACAAATATATATATTCACAAAGATATGACATATGGAATATTAAATATTGAACAGATTATATATGTGTAAAATGTACAACGTTCTCTTTTTAAGATAAATATTTGGATTTAACGAATACTGAGTTAATATCTCGGGTGAAAAATGTGTTACGTTACATTTGGAAGACATATAAGAAGTACGTGTTTAAAAATATAGGCTTTTTACTAAAATATAAAGCGACTATGTAAATAATAATACACTGAAAAAGGTATTGGTTAAAAGCGTTGAAATGCAAACATTACATTTCATTTACTGTTGAAGAACTAAGCACAGTCTATTTCAAACTGAACCTTTACTTTATATTCCTTAAACAGTTTCCAAAAAGAACGGTGGAAGACAGAGAAAATGCACTCGACATGCTCGTATTCAATTTTTACAACAACAGGAAGCAGTTAGAGGAAGAGACATACATGCACTTCAAAATAAAAGCATTTCTTGTAAAACGTACCTTTTAACTTATATCAAGAAATCAAATTTCTTTACTGCCTTAAATAACAACTTACAACATTTCATTTGTATTGGGCAGAAATGGTTTGAAATAAGAACTTGTTGATTTAGTTGATCATGATTTTTCAAGTTTAATAAACAACCATTTGCTGATAAAATAGCGGACGGATCCAGTGAGTAAGAGACGGCTAACGGGATCATAACACAACCGTCTCTTCTCTGCGAGCTTTTTCAGAGTTCAGGCGTGTTTTTCTCATGAGGTTGTTTTTGCCCTTTCTGCCGACGCACCTAATTTCTGAGTATGTGCTATAAAGGAGAGCAAATTGGCCATAACTGCAACCACTAATGCTCACACGCACGCACGCACACACGCACACACACTTCTTCACACACACTTTACCTCCATGCCAGATTTCAGCATCCTGGGGGTGAAAACTGTGACCGCCAAAGGGAGGGGAAATTCTTGTGGACCGACTGACAGAGCGAGCTGAAACATTTAAAAAATATCCGAGAGCTGCACAGCTTCATCCAGGAATGTGTAAAAGTGAACAGAATAAAGTATAACGTGTGTGTGTGTTTCTGTCACTAATGTGAGCATGTGAACTTTATTTTCTCAGAGTCTCTGGAGCTGATCGCCACCGCAGCAGAACACTCCAACGCCGCCATCAGGAAGATGGTGAGACACACACACACACACACACACACACACACAGTTTGTCATTATCTCGACCTCATCTTTAATTAAACTCTGATTACACTCCTTAACTGTTAACTCACAGCTGCTGCTCCTTCATGTGGGTTTGACTTCGTCACATTTCTCATCACCAACTTCTCCTCTGGAGAGCTGAAGGGAGAGTGTTTTGAGGTGGGGCTCGACGGCAGTGGTTCTCAACTGGTCAGGCCTCGGGACCACTTTTTCCTTAGTCAATAGATTGCGACCCGAAATTTTGAACCACTCAAATCTATTCAACAAAATCGTGCAGTAATACTCTTTTCAGCATTATTAATTAAAGTGAAGTACAGTGCATATATCCCTTCACAGAACTCCGGTACTTCCAGTCCAACGCCGACTACATGCACAGCGTTAGAAAATCGGGCCTTCAAAATAAAAGTTTGACTTTTTCCCGAAAAAAAAAAAAAAAGACTCCAATTTTTTTTGGTTCTTCATCACACATCCCGACCCACTCGAAACGGGTCCGCGACCCACCAGTTGAGAACCACTGCTCTACAGGGTTCTTCACCAAATCAGCGTAATACTACCTGCAGTAGATGCAGTTTGGAGCAAAAGACAGGAGTACCAGCAGGAAGCTTTATACAATGTTTTGCTAACGGGATCTGAAGCAGTTATACAGTCATTTGACCTCACAGAACATTGGAGTCACTCGCCTGCTTTGATCCATTAGTTAGTTATTTTGTGACTTTTAAAAGGTTAGTTTACGTCAACAACAAGGCAGCACTAAACTCCTGTCAGATAAAACTGGTTTTTTTCTATGGAGTGTAGTGGTTTTGAAAAGAGCGTGGATAACGTCTGACAGCGAAGTGAAGTGGTGGAAATATGATGTACATTTCAAATAAACATATTGATGTTTTGGTTATATTTCCACAGCAGTACACTGCTTAGTGTTCTCCTGTGCACACTGACTGTGGCAGCTTTTGCTCAACAATGGGTTAAAAACTTGGAAAACTAAACCATAATTTTCCCTCATATTCTTTTATTTGTATTTCTTTCTTCTTTGCTGCAAATTATTATACAAACAACTCGGGTTATCATCGATTGTTACAAGATAAAAACTCCTGTGTCCCTGTGCAGTCTCTCATTTAATTTGATCTTTTTATTTCCGTTTCACTTTAATATGGACAAACTGAGAATAGTCAGTCTCACATATCACCTCATACCTGGTTCTGTTTCTGCCTCAGGAGCGGATGAGGAAGCTGCTGAAAGTGTACGAGCTGCTGGGAGGAGAAGAAGACATCGTTAACCCGACTAACGAGCTCATCAAAGAAGGACACATCCTCAAACTGTCCAACAAGAACGGCACCACGCAGGACCGATACCTCATCCTGGTACTTCCTATTTTACTCCTACCTTTTTTACTAAAGGCATCTTCCTTTTATTGCTATTCGACCAGACACTCATAGATATCAGTATTTTTCTTATACATATTATGTTAACACTGGAGCAAACTCCCAGAAACATTCAGGTCCGCTGCAACTCTGACTACTTTTAAATCCAGACTAAAGACTTTCTTTTTGCCGCTGCTTTTAATTGAACTATTCACATCTTAAACTGCACTGTAACCTTTATTCACGTACCTGTGTTGTTCATGTTTTATGATCTTTGCTTTTTAATGTTTCTAATGTGTTTTATGCTCTTAATGTCTTTCACTTTTGTAAAGCCTTGAGTTGCCTTGTGTTGAAAAGTGCTCTATGCCTTGTTTTCTCTGGCACAAGAATGTCCTTTGTGATTTATAAAGTTGTATTTTACCTTATTATAATGTGATTTAACTGAGTGATGCCTGTCTTGTCTCTGTGCAGTTTAACGACAGGTTGCTGTACTGCGTCCCCAAGCTGCGTCTGATTGGTCAGAAGTACGGCGTCCGTGCTCGCATCGATGTGGACGGGATGGAGGTGAGACACATCTTTAAGTTGATCGAACTCAGTGGAGCTCTGACTATAAACCTGAAGCTGATTTAACCGGTCTGTCTCTCTCTCTCTCTCTCTCTGTCTGTCTCTCTCTCTCTCTCTCTCTCTCTCTCTCTCTCTCTCTCTCTCTCTCTCTCTCTCTCTCTCTCTCTCTCTCTCTCTCTCTCTCTCTCTCTCTCTCTCTCTCTCTGTCTCTCTCTCTCTCTCTCTCTCTCTCTCTCTCTGTCTCTCTGTCTCTGTCTCTGTCTCTCTCTGTCCCTCTCTGTTTCTCTCTCTCTCTCTCTCTCTCTCTCTCTCTCTCTCTCTCTCTCTCTCTCTCTCTCTCTCTCTCTCTCTCTCTCTCTCTCTCTCTCTCTCTCTCTGTCTGTCTCTCTCTCTCTCTGTCTCTCTCTCTGTCTCTCTGTCTCTCTCTCTGTCTCTCTCTCTCTGTCTCTCTCTCTCTGTCTCTCTCTCTGTCTCTCTGTCT